TCAACTTAGAAATTTATGGTTGATCAACAACACATTGGGCTTCGAAATAGGCCCACTATAATTTAGCCCACACGCAAAATATCTTTCATCCGTCTATAAAAATAACTAGACGATCGCATTAGCATCAATCAATCAAGTCACTCTTATTCTTTTTCTTTTTCTGAGAAACCACTCTTATTCTTCCAAATTCCAAACACAGTTTCATCAGACAATGAGTGGACCCTCCTCGCCTGCAGCCGGCTACAACCTTAATGGTACCATTTCTTTCCTAAGTTTCGTACAAACATTTGGCTTTTGATCCGTAACCAAATCTTTGTTTTTATTTCTTGGTTTAATTTTATATATGAACACAGGGAACGAGCGCCTTAATGTAGAAGGAGATGACGGATCAATCCGTTGGACCTTCAAGAACGACTCGTGCGTGGTCAGGGTTGACGTACCAGGTTGTCCAAGATTACCGGTTCCAGGAGGAAACCCCCACTATTACGAACTCCAATCAACCCACGCGCGTTCGACATAGAAGAACCAGCCATGGACCATACCGACCGATCGAGACGCAAGTACAATGGGTACGTCAAATTTGACCCTGTGCTTTTCGATGCGGCCAATGCGAAGGTTAATGTTGTCGACGGTGTACTCTGGATCACTGTCCCTAGGAAACACTAATCAAGAAGAAGAGACTACGTTGCTGCGTATAATTGCGTCGTATTAAAATACTAGAATAATGAAAACTGTTTAGACCGTATACGTGCATGGTCGGTATTAAACTCTTCTATGATTAGTTAATTATTGTCTGTGTTAAACTCTTCTATGAGTATTAACTAATTATTGTCTTATTAATAAAAATAAGAATTTCTCCCTTACACACAAATGTTGCAATCTTAATTACGTTATTTTGTTTTCAATATACAGATATTAATTGACAAGTGAAATTTAAATATACGCCAAAATATACGTAAAGGTTTAAGAATGTAACGGATTTGGGTGTTTAAGAGTTTTATTTCAGTTTAGATTTGCTGATAAAAATAAAGCATACAAAAGTTTAAAAATATGATTAAATGTAAACTTTTTTAACTCTTGTTCTTTTCTTAGTTTAAACTCTCCGACATAACTGAGATCAAACTAGGGGTATAGGGACAAGGACTAAACCCACTAACCACAGGATCTAATTCGAACTTCTTGGACACATTGCCCTTGACAATATAAATGCAAGCTTTTTCATTTTCGTCATTACAACAAATAATGAGGCTATTTTCATAGAAATGATCGATAAAGTAACTTAGACAATAGCCCCTAAAACCAGGAATTGAAACTGTCATGAACTTCATCCAGACCACATTCTCACCATCTTCATTAATCTTGTCTTTTGTCACCCAAATCTCAATCTTGTTTGTTCTAATGATTTCTCTTAGCATTGAAAACCGATCTCTCCGAAAGACGGAAAGGGCTGGAGGATTGGAATATATATTCTCCCTTGGCAGAACGCAAAATATTTTGAATGTCTCTTTGGAAAAATCGAAACTTTTGATGAGATACTCATCCGTTTCGAAATTATAAGCAGGCCAATACAAATTTCCATGTATAGACACAGTATTAAAATGTTTTATGGAGACCTCTTCCTCAGAAGGGGCATTAATACATTTCCACGCATTGGTTTCGAACTCGTAGATGGCAAATCTATTGTATAATTGGCATGTATCGTCATTTAGTTTTCGCCTACAAACACTAGACCCCAAGATTTTGTGATCCTTTTGGGGTCTACCACTATCGTATCCTATGCCAAAAAACCTGAATTTTTTTTCTTCGGACTCGATCCATCTAGTTTGTCTCAACCACGGGTTCCAAACCGCGGCTCCATTCCACGACATCGAGGCACAAAACAATAAGCCATCACAATGAATAAACTCGATAGGCATACAATTATTTGAATAAGGTATATGGAAAGGTAACTCACGCATCTCTATCGCCAGATCATTGTTGGGATTGACACATACCGAATAAATCTTGGAATTAGAATATAAGAGGAACTGAGGACGGGCTAGAGCCAAGTAGTTGGTTATGAACGTCCTATCATTGAAAAGTGCATTCCATTGTTTGCAAACGGTTCTGAATCTCGTAAGAGATAGAGGCGGAACACGATAGAGTATCTCTTCCACCAATTCCCTTGGAAGCTTTTCTTGTGCCATTTGGTTTTCGATTGATTAATGAAGTTCACAACATAATACA